GCGGCTCCGAAGGTCCCCGTAGCCATGTGCACATGCGGCCGCCCCACCCATGGCGGCACGCCCCTTCACAAGTTTCGTGGCTCCATAGGTAGGGGGCTCCTCTGGAGGCTCCAGTGGCGGTGTGCACATGTGGCCGCCCCGCCCATTTCGGCACACCCCTCACGCGTTTCGTGGCCCCATGTGGAGTTCGGCCGGAGGCCCCAGTGGCCTTGTCCACATCCGGTCGCCCCGCCCACTTCGACACACACCGCACACGATTCGTGGCCCCGCTGGGAGCTCCACCGACGGCCCCAGTGGCCATGGCCACCTGCGGCCGCCCCGCCCATTTCGGCACACCCCTCATACGTTTCGTGGCTCCATAGGGAGCTCCACTGGAGGCTCCAGTGGCGATGTCCACATGTGATCGCCCCGCCCATGTCGGCGCACCCCTCACACGTTTCGCGGTCCCATTTTGGGATTCCCACCGAAGGCGATACTCACAACGACGGTCCTCGCAATTGCATATTGTTGGGTCCGCCGTGTATTTTGTTTCCTCTTCCAGGCAATTCCCATTCCCCAGCCCGATCTGTTGCCAACAAGGCTGCCCCACAGGCCCTATGAGTATCCCAAAGACCGCCACACCACACTGCCTACGCTCTCGAGTCCTCATGGGCATCGTAGCCAGGGGGTGCAGGGTTGGTGCAGGGGCATAGGTAACCCGCTCCCTGGGGGACCAAAGAGAGGAGCCCAACGAGAAGCATCCACTTCGGTCACCGTTGCCCATTGGGCTAAGTTGCTGGGGCCATGCTCAGAACCATCCCTGTCAAGATTGTGAAACTTTGAGTCTGGCAATCGGGCTGCAGGTTCCACGGTCGTGGGCGTTTCGTCAGGTCCTCGCTGTTCTGTTCCCGCGATGGCAGGATTTTGTGAAGGATGTGGTCATTCTATTCCCCCTGCACCTTGCCCCCGCAGTAACTCTTGCCCCTCTTCTTCTTCTTCTTCATCTTCTTCATCATCCTCCCCCTTCCGCTTCCCCTCCACCATCCCCCCATTCCACTCCCCCCTCCTTCTCCCCCCTCTCCCCCCCCCCCCTCCCCCCGCTCTCCTTTCTCGCAGGTTCCTGCCATAGCCAGGTGGGTGTGTGGCACACTTCTGGGGGCACCCGCGAAGGTGAAGCCGTCTGGAGGAATCCCGGTGTCACGCGGGAATGGCTTTCCCCCTCAGTGATGGAGTGCTCTCGTACTCAATGCATGCGGCCTCCTCGAAAGAAGCATTATAAGCCTTTCCGGAATACTCAGCCCAGTCCTCCCCACGAAAGCATGCAGCGACCGCAGCGGCTGGCCACGGCTTGGGGCTCCCCCGCAGAAGCTTACAGGAGTGTCTGGGGCAGAGGTGTGGTGAGGATCTGCGATCCAGCCATGAAGCGAGCCATACCCTTCTGGACGACACAGGGGGCAGCCCGGTGCCCTGTGTGTCGGGGGAGGGAGCCAGTGAGGTGCCCGGCGACTTCAATTTCGGCAGCGGCTTCCTGAAGGGCAAGACCGACAAGGAGGCATGGACGCGCTCCTCTGAGCCAGGAGAAGCAGGAGAAAGGGGAGGGACGAGTAGTGAGGAGGGGAGAGGGAGGATGGGGGCGAGGACGAGCGGGGGGGGGGAAGCGCGCGGGGAACATGCGTTGTGATGGAAGCGAGGGCGATATCCAGGACGAGGACTTGCAGTGCACGCGGGTCGCAGTGTGGCTAGATCGGCCGAAGCGGTTGCTCTGCTGCGCAAGCTGAGTGGTATAAGCTGCGCTGTGCACGCTATGTGGTGCAGGCTATGTGGCGAAATAAATCTGGAACAAGCCATGTGATGGTGCAAGCTATGTGGCGCGATCCCCACGATGCCCACGATGCAGGCAATGCGATGCCCACGAGGCAGGCAAGCGATGTGTGGTGTGCAAGCGATGCCCACGAGGCAGGCACCAGGCAGACTCTCGGCCGGCCCACCCCGCGCACGAGGCGCCCACGAGGCGCCCACGGGCGGGCACTAGGGAGGGGAAACCTCGGCTGTCCCACCCAGCGCACGAGGCGTCCACGGGGCGCCCACGGGCTGACCGGGGCACCAGGGCAAGCCCAAGCGGTTCCTTCAGGGACCTGGGCAAGGACCCCTTGATAGCAAGCAGTTATCAGGGAAATAATGAAGAGGGATGCGGAGGGAGGAGACGAATTGTGACGATGATGATGGTGATGACGACGATGATTATGACGATGATGACTATGGTGATGATGCTGACGATGCTGATGCTGCTGATGATGTTGATGCTGATGATGATGGTGATGATGACGATAATGATGATGACTATGGTGATGATGCTGATGATGCTGATGTTGCTGATGATGTTTATGCTGCTGCTGCTGCTGATGATGATGATGATGATGATGATGGTGGTGATCATGATGACGATGACGATGGTGGTGATGATGCCGAGGAGGAGGATGAGGATTAGGATAAGATAATTATGCTTTTGAGGAATGTGATG